GTCCCGTTTCTCCTGGTCATTTGTTTTTCTTTTTTCTTCTCTCCATCCAACAGTGCAAGCTGAGCCCACATCCCTCTCCCCGCTCCTCCTCCTCCTCCTTCCTACTGCCTCCTCCTCTTCGCTCACCTCAGTCCCAAACACTGTAAACAGTGAGGCTTTGTGTGGAGCTGTTGTGGCCAGTCTGCAGGCTAAGCCAAGTCCTTATGAAACATCAGTTTGTGCATGGTTTTGACCGAGTTAGCGCCCAGCTTCTTTGGTTGACCTGAAGAGACAAGAGGGCGGCGGTGACTGGTTCTGTCTGCGGCTTATGCAGCCTTCAAATACTCATAGGCATATTTCGGGGCCACGAGTGGCGGTGTGTTCTCATTTTACTGTGGTCTCGGTGTCACGGTAGACTCATGTGAACCTTGGGTACCTCCTACTGGAATAGTGGTCAAACATGTAACAGTGGAATCAGTGGCAAGCAGTTTAGATTAGGATGAATCATAGTTTGGCTAAAATTAGAATCAGCTGTGTTAAGACTTTTTATGGGGAGTTCCAAATTAACTGCTCGACTGAAGGAGAAGATGGGCGTTTCAACACTTGGAAAAAACATGTCTGGTTTATATCTGAAGACTTAACAACCTCACAATAACAATTCTGTGATCATCAAAGTTATGCTATAATGTAAAGACAAAGACTGTCACTGCCTTTTGTTTTGTCTGTATAGTAGGAACCACCCAGTACTCCTTGAAAGGTAATGTTGACCACTGCGAAATACCCAGATCGTGATCACATTCATCATTAAGTAATTCCTTTGATGTCTCAGCTGTGCATATTCTGAGCATTCTTTGTGTGTGTTTGTCTTTTGTATTTGAAGCCAGTTGAATTAATCACACTCTGGCAACAGGCTCACCACCCGGGGTCTCGGATGTAGCTGCCTCTCACCTCTGCTGTGAACCTTTCTTCATTCATTATATCGAAGCGGAGCTCAATCAGTGGAATTCTATTGACTGTAATTACGTCTTTCCAATCAAATACCCAGACAGCAGTGTTCCCGGCTGTGGGTAATAAAATTAAATAAATTTGTTATCAAGTTTATTTTCTAATGCAAAGCGAAGAGACGGTGCCCAGAGAAGTGAACGGCAGTTAGATGAGTCATCCTCGTCTTGAATTACTGCCAGACATTTTGAATGCGGTACCACAGCTGCGGTTGCACGAAGAGATGCGCCTAGAAACGTAATACATCAGATACTCTTAGGTACACTTTGATTTATGCTTTCTTCCATGATCAGTTTTCACAATCAGCTCCATCTTAATGAGTCAGAGAATGAAATGGAAAAAAGGACGACAGATAGATGGATATCTGGAGGGTCGGAGCTTGTATATGTATATGTATATGCCTTGTATGGTGGTGTAATGTACCTGAGTATTGTCACTAATGATGTTTATTCCTTTACAACCACAGTGTACAATAAGCATAACGATTACCAAAGAAAGAGGCTGCAAAAAGCTTTGTTGTGCGAGAGAATTAGATTCAGGTAAAAATGTGTTAAAGTGTATTTGATGACCATTTCCAACCAGACATTATGTTATTTCATTTTTGAACCTCCTCACTGTCAGCAGGATGAAGTAGAGCACTTGAATGGCATCAGTATTTTCCATCGTTATGTTTAATAACATCAGTCCCTACAAAATTGACCTCTGAAGATCATATTTTTACGGCCTGCACGCTTGTCTACAATCCAGAAATAAATCAGGTGAGGGGGTGGCAACTAAGGTGACTGGTCTGAGAATCCCACTTGCCCAATGTACTTCAGGTCTGTGGGGAGGGACATGTCCTTTAGAGGACCTTGCCATGCCTGATCAATATCCCTCTGGTGTGAACTACAAGATGGTCATGGTGAGAGAGAAAAATAGTCGGTGTGCATTACTCCTCAGTGGTTATGTGTCATTTGCCCTTTAAGATGCATATGTCTCTTATCGGTGCACTCAGTTGTCATAAACTTAATGCAAAAGGCCTATTATTATGAGCAATGGCGGGCGAGCCCAATGTTTTCCTCTGATTTATCTGTGGTGGTGCAGGAAAAATGAATAGCTTGTACTATTGCAGCAGTGCATCGGTCATAATTCTCAAGCTGGCACCTTATTCACCACGGAAAAATACATACAGAGCTTTATAATGTATGCTCTTCTTAACTGCAACTTCACCTGAATTAAATTCCTGGCACGGGACTTTGATTACATCCTTGCTAAGTACCACAATCTGATTTCTCCATTATGTAAGGAACGAATACAAATGGGCTTGCTGAGGGAGAGACAAAGGGGCAGAAAGAGAGCAGGGGCACGGGGAGAGATAACAAATTAAAAGAAAGGCAGATGGAGAGACAGAAAAGGGGGTTAGAGACAAAGAGGAGGTGAAGAACAAAGAGCTGAAAGAGCGGATTTGAGAGCAGCCATGTCGTCTGGATGAGCCTCTCTTGACCTTCTTGGTATGAGGAATTGTGATGGAACAAACACTAGGCTTTGAATCCACCCCATGCTCAAATGGACTTGGCTGGCAGTCGGCACTAAGTGCATGGCAGGGAAAACAACTCATGTGGCTTTACAGGAGCATCTTTAGGCTTGGCTGAGGTAATCAAAGCCTGACTGGTGCCTGGACCTACGTGTTCCCAGATCCTCTGACCTGTCACTCTCCTGCCAAAACTGGAGCTCATTTGTGGAATATGGTATGCCTTTCTGCCACGGCTGGGTAGGATGCAGGTCTCAGTAGAGTGTGGGATCAAAGTCTGCACATTTCTCAGTGTCACCCAATGATAACCCTTATTTCTCCTGCCAAACTGGATTCCAGTCATATTTTACAAGCAAACTGCACTTTTTTTCCCCTGTCATTTCTCTGACCTCCTTCATGCAAAATAATAATCTATCTTAGATTGTAGTGCTGTTTACATTTGTCTCCTGAGATATACCAGCTGTTTTAATAGTCGATACAAACAAAGACTTCATCACGAGATGATGACCTAAATTATAATTTGAAAAAAGTCTAAAAACTAATTAGCCTCCGTAGCGTAGTTGAGATCCTCCTGATCTGTCTTCCTGAAGTCGTTTCAAAAGGTAATTGTGATGGTTTTTTTGAATCTGCAGAAATTTTTGATGCTTATCAGAAATCTTGCTTGAAACACATTTAAATGTCTCAAAAAGTCCTATGTGTGAACCTCCAGACCTCCACCTAATGTTTCCCATCAATGATAAAACAAAACCTGCTCCGATGGCAGCGACTCAAAGACTGCTGGAGAGCAGATGAGGTTAAACCTCGGGAAAAAGTCAGAAAATAGTTGTGGGTTTGATTAGGAAACATGCTATCTGACACCGTGACTCTTTGCTCTGCAGATCAGACTGTGGCTAGTCTGCAGTTTCCACTTGAGAATTTGTCCAGCTCTTTTGCAAGCCATGCATTCCCACAAAACATAATCCAAGCTTTCTTTGGAAGAATGATTGTTGACAAAAAAAGCACTCAATACAAAGCCTCTGAAGAGAAGCTGGCCATTAGTATTCCATCACATGTGCAACGCATTGAACTAAACCTTGCGGACTTTATTGATTTCTAAGTGCATTCATTATGCTTTTATGTATCTGTCTCAAAGTGACACCTGATGTCTACTGCATATTTTTTTCTAAATAAAGGGTTTGAAATAACATCCATTTTAAAAAGGGTAATTACTGCAGACTAATGTGTTTATTCCACAGTAATTACACTAATAAATTTGCACTGCCTGAAGGTCATATGGCTGAAGTTTTAGGCTATGTTTGTGGTTCTCAAGCAGTGGATCAGGCCCCAGTGCAGAGAAACACCGGGGGAAAAGTGGAGTAGAACTAGTGATGGGATTATGTTTTATTGTTAGAGAGTTTGGGATGTAGGACCACTGGGATATGCTGACACTGTAAGCATAAAGTTATTTGATTACACAGTGACTTACAGTATATGTAGTCTTTTCGTTTCTCTTGGTTTTACTGTTTTCTGTTTGTGAGTGTGTGTGGCCAGGGACAGGAATTCATGTGACTTTTACTTCAGTCAGCTCACCAGAGATTCTTGCTGTGAGACTACTGTGTTGTCAGAGGTGATTAAAAGTAACCGTTACATCCTGAAATTTTAAATATTTGTTTCAGTGTAGCGTTTATCTCGCACTCCTATCCCTCCTGACTTACAACTCCACATCTGCCCACCTCAGAGCATAAGATGCGCCACTGCTTCATATTTAAGTCATATTTAAAAAGCCAGTTCTCCTTCTCCTCATCTGAATTGTCACATGATCAAAAATGTGCTGGCTTCTGCTCAAGAAAAATAAAGTTGATATACTGGACTCTGACACTGACCACTTCCAAAGAATAAGTCAGAGTAGATCTGTAAATATGTGGAAATCCCAGCGTAGCGCTAGCCTGAAGGATTGTTTGTGCTAAAAGAGGGATCATCCAATCTGTGGTTTGTCTGACAGTGTTAAGCAGAGGGTGCATACCTTACTCTGTCAGTAGGGCTCGAATTGTCTCTCTACAGCATGTTTGCCTTGGATAGTTTTTTGGATCCAGTTTCATTTTAAAAAGAGCACAGCACCCTCTAGTGTCACATCTGTGGTCATTGCAAATATTTTAATGCAATGCAACATTTTTGTGACATGCTAAATTATCCAAGCTTATATAAGTCATTAGATGCATGTTTGTGGATCTGATCCATAAAAAAAAAAAAAAAAAAAGTAATCTGGATATTTTTCCTTCGTTAAACTTTGTCCTTTACAAAGAACAAACTTTGATATACCCCAATACCCCTGTTGTGTATTGTGACCGAGAACTTTGTCCCATTTCGAATTTCCTAAGTTACAAAGTGAGTACAACCCAGATAAGGTGCTTTTTACATGGGATATCTTCCAGATTGCAATCAGCAAAGTCATCTGAATAAGTCCTTGACCTCACTTCCTGACGTGCAACTGGTGCAAGCAAAGAGCAAGAGACAACGGAAAAGAGATAAATAATTTGAGAATAATTTATTTAGAGCAAAACAGATGCAACAACATAAAGGTAACATTGTAAGATGACAATCTATACATACTGTAGAAATGTAAAACATGAATACAGTAAACTCTTAACTCCATGCCAAACAAAGCTAGCAGCATAAGCCTTCCAAAGATTCAGTCCTTAAACAATATGATGTTATATAAATCAAAATACCAAATCCTTCAGTATGAAGTGTAAATTATTACAATCATGTGGGATCGTTTCTTCCAGCAATGCACAATCATTTGTATCCTTGTTAATAATTTAGCTTTTGTTTTTGATTTTTAAAAATGTGCTTTTAAGGACGTGGGATTTAAAACTTTTATAAATGTATTGACTTCTAAAGCTCCTTAAGATAGTTTTCATGGAATGAAACAGCAATTATGTCTTTAGTCTAATTTAAAAAAAATGAGTAACAGCAGACTAATAAATTTGTTGTTCACTTACACAAGATAGTGTTCATTCAGCCTTGTGAAGGCTTATTAAAACGAAAATCTTTTGTAACTTTTGACCTTTTCCTTTTTAAAATTAAAAATTTAAAAAGAAAACTCATCCTTTACTCCATTTACCGAGAGTCTAAAAGCAAATATTACTACAAACACTGTTCTAACAATTGCACTCTTTCCTGAGGCTGTCTAGTTTGTCTGTTCAGTGTCAGTGTCCTCAATGACGCAAACACTAAATACACAGTACATTTATACTGTATTTCTACAGCAATGCCCAGCCCGGAAATACTGATTCTGGAAAAAAAGAAAAAAAACTAGCTACTTGACCGATCACAACTTAAGCTAGTAGTCTGAAGGATGTCAGTGTGATGTTCAGTTATTTAGAAAGACATGATGGTTCTTTGGATGATATCAATGCATTCCTCTAGCTCGTCCTCTTTGATGATGAGGGGAGGAGCCAGGCGGATGATGTCACCGTGGGTGGGTTTTGCCAGCAGACCATTGTCACGAAGACGCAAGCACACTCTCCACGCATCGTAGTCTGGGGGAAATTGTTTTAATATAAGTTACACTAATATATCGTTTATACTCATTAAAACAGTGGTTCTCAAACTTTTCACAATGAGTACCACCATAAAATATATGGCTCTTGAAGTACCACCCTTATGACCAACATTAAAGCACAATAGTATTATTTAACACCACATACAGTTTACACAGACAATTTTATTTCTTATATAAATGTTATTTTAACTGTCATTTCAATGTCAAAGTCAGTGATCACCGTCGGCCTCTCAGTTTTTATGATCACTGTTCATTTTAAAGCATTATGATGTAACTACAGCCCAGCCCATGCAGCAGTATATTAATGACTAACCTTATATTGCAGGTTTTCTCCTGATTGAAGTTTGGTCTGTTTACAGCATCCTGTCATGCGATTACATTTGTCCCTACCATCAGGAACTCTCACATTAACTTTTATTGAGTGGAAAAAAAACTTCGCGTTCATCCTCCAGCTTCACTGTGTTTATATTATGCTAACATAGCTGTGTAGCTAGCCACCACCCAGCACATCATTATATACCAGCTAGCCCAACTTCAGTAACCCTACAAACGCTACTGCTGTTTAGTTTTCTGTCTTCATTTATGTCGGAAGTGATAGCAGAGCTGTACGTTTTAATTTTTGCTGTGGCAAATAAGCTACCAGATTTTTGGCTTCACAACCCTCCTTCATGGTTCCTGCATGTCGAATCTCAGTTTGCTCTTTGTGGCATTTCAGCCGATGACACGAAATACTATCATGTGTTGGCCTCACTGGATCGGCTGTGTGATGACCCTCCTCCGGGATCCAACCACCCAAGGGAAATACACTGCTCTCAAGGCGCTGCTGCTGCGGCACTACTCCCTCTCCGATGCAGAGAAACTCCTCTCTCTCTCGGGCTTGGGTGAAGGTACCGCTCTCGAGCTCATGGAGAGCACGCTGTCCTTGCTAGGAACGGTGCTCTCCAGACTCATGTCTTCCTCCGACAGTTACAGGTACGAGCTGGCCTCACCAACTCCCCGCTGCTGGCTGCGAATGATTACTGCTCACTTGTAGAAGAAACAGATCACATTCTCCTGGCTACCAGGAGCTTCGGCATCCAGCACCGATTCTTCTGGGGGTCTCTGACTCATCGATGCTGGCTGGGATCGAGGCACCGCGGCATCACTGAGAAAGGGCGTGACAGCACCATGCCGCCTTTGCAGTTTTAAGACCCAGGGAAACGAGCCCGCCAGCGCTCTGTAGCAGCAGTTGCGGCTGCTACAGAGCGCTGGCGGGCTCATTTCCCTGGCTGCTCTACATAGAGGACTCATGCTCGGGGAGACATTTCCTGGCCTACTCTGGCTCCCAGAAGAGCCTCTGGAACCTCAACAATGCTATGTTATTTAATCTTTAAAAAAAGATCCCCACGTACCACCAGAGAGAGCCCAAGTACACGTACCACAGTTTGAGAACCACTGCATTAAAACATGATGGCAACACTCAAGCCTTGATAATCTGATAATAAAAGTAGACGACCGTCGATTAGCTTTGTAATCTGATTTCACTGACTAAAATATTTCATGTTAGCTATCAAGAAAAGATCACTACTATACCTTTGGTCTCTTTGATGACGACTGCATTGAGGAGGCCTTTTCCTCTCACTGTTGTCACTATGTCTTTGGGCAGCTTGTTGAGCTGAGCCCGCAGCTTTTCCCCCATCCTCTGGGCATTATCGGCCAGCTTCTCCTCCTCCATCACCTACAAATAAGAGCAGCAAGAGTGGAAAACAAACAGGTTGATTATTCTTCTGCTACTGTCAACTTTATTATGCATTTTAAATTTTATGTTCATTTTATTTAATCTGTTTACTCAATAAGGAAAAAACCTTTGCTGACTTGTTTTACGTATGCTAATAAGTGAATGTAAAGTGCATTTTAACACTGACCTCTAGCGCAGCAATAGCTACCCGACAGCCCACCGGGTTACCTCCAAATGTGGAGCCGTGCTCACCAGGTTTGATGGTCAGCATTATCTCATCATCACACAGTACAGCAGATACCTAGTGCAGACAAAAACAGATCAGGTTAAGCAAAGGTGAAAAGTTCTGAGTCTTACTTTGTCTCACAAATCTTGAACTCCGAGTATTCATAACATGTAACGAAGCGTGATTGAACCAAAGTAAAATGCTTACTGGGTAAACTCCTCCAGAAAGAGCTTTGCCTAGAATGACCATATCCGGACGAACGTCTTCGTGGTCCACAGCCAGCCGTCGGCCAGTACGTGCCAAGCCTGTCTGCACCTCATCAGCAATCCACAACACCTGAAAAAAGCGTGGAATGTAAATGGACATCTTGTTGTCAAACTTAGAAAAACCAAAGATTGATTAAAGATTTTGTTGACATGCCTTTATTTATGCTATTGGTACATAAACAGACCACTAAGTCATTACACAGCTGTTTCCAGAAAAGTCAAAACACTTCTCTTTCAGCTTTTATCAACCACCTAAGAATTAACTACCTCTACTAAATGCCCGCTCTTTGATGTTGACATTCATATGCTTGAAACCATAAAACAGCATGAAGCAAGCTTCAGGAAATATGCGAAATATACTTGTTTTTATAACAAACACTAGACTCTAGTTCAGTTTGAAGGGAAACATTTGTTTCCATATCAACCTGTAGGTAATTACAACACTTATTTTCCTTTCTGCGCAGGACTTACATTGTATTTTGTGCAAAGTTCCCTGACTTTAGTCAGGTAGCCCTGGTCGGGCACCACCACACCAGCTTCCCCTTGGATGGGTTCCATCATGAAAGCTGCAACAGTTTGGTCTTGAAGGGCTTTCTGGAGAGGCGGACAAAATAAAATAAAATAAAAAGACAAGTATATGATAATTCTGTCAATAAATAAACAGTACTTCAGTCAGTTATTCACCTGTTATGTTAAAAAAAGGTCTGCATTCACAAAAATAGCTAAATTCAATGTGTAATTTCTACCCTATATGTACACAGATGGTCAGAGTCTCATAGACTATATTATCCACTTAGCATGAAACTAACTGTACAGAAAATCTTGTGCATGAAAACCTGTACCTCTAGTGCAGGTATGTCGTTGAATGGGACCAGTTCAAATCCTGGCATATAGGGGCCGAAACCTTCGTAGCTACTGGGATCAGTGGAGCTGGAGATGGCTGCCATGGTGCGGCCCCAGAAGTTTCCCTCTAATCAAGAAGAGTAAAGAAGATGGTGTGTTTACCATATTATTGTTGTTTGGGGGGAGGGGGATCATATTTTTTTGAACAAAGAACATCTGAAAGATACAATTTCTAAGAAGTAACTTGCTTGGTTTAGCTCACTGGTCTCCTAATCCCGTAATAGTGGAGGTTATTGTGCCTGCCAAGGCAAGAAATGGGTCATCTTACCTTATTAAAGTAAACGTCAGTAACGTTTGGTCTATTTCTTACAGAATGATGTGTAAGGTGAAAAAAAATGGACACACTCACGAAAAGTAGTCAATTTCAATGAAAAAAAAAAATACCAACTTACCTGCAAAAATGATTTTTGCCTTGTTTTTGGGAATCCCCTTTACATTGTAGGCCCACTTGCGTGCGAGCTTGCAGGCAGTCTCACCACCCTCAACACCTGTTGCATTACAAAATATTAGAGTCAACAAATCTACTCACAATGACCTTCAAAGATAGCTAGCGCAATCAGGATTAGATGTTACCTGTATTCATTGGCAAAACTTTATCATAGCCAAACATGTTGGTGATATACTCCGCATAGGCTCCCAGCACATCATTATAGAACGCTCTGGAAGTCAAGGTGAGCTTAGATGCTTGGGAGGTGAGTGCAGCTATGATCTTGGGATGGCAGTGGCCCTGGTTTACAGCACTGTATGCACTGAGGAAGTCAAAGTACCGGTTGCCCCCCACATCCCACACATAGATGCCTGGGAGGAAGGGGAAAAAAACAGACGGACATGTCAGGGTTAAGTGGTTTGGAGACAAAGTTAGAGAAGCAAGGTTGATATGGTTTGGACATGTGCAGAGGAGGAAGAGTGGGCAAATGACCTTAAAGATGGAGCTATCAGGCAAGAGGAAAAGTGGATGATTGCAGAGAAAGTTTATGGATGGCATAGAGTAAGATGGAGGCAGGTGATCTGCCATGTAGACGCCTAAAGAGAGAAGCTGAAAGAAGTAATAATGGTCAAGAAGAAAAGCAAGTTCTCCAGAAAAACCACACCTAAACTCAAGGAATGAACCGGTTTTATGTCTACACATAACAGACAACTTTAAATTGTATGTCGAGGCACTTTGTTAGTAGAAGTCTGTTGCATAAATATATGTGTTCCCATTTCTTTAGTTGAAACAATGAACAATTTAAAAGATAGTCTGACAGGCATAAAATTGTACTTTTGCAACAACAATACAATTTCCAAAGAGCAATGTGTTGAAATCTGACTAGTTTCATTTTCAAAGACCTCAAATACACTGCCAATGTAGTAAAACCACACTTGGATAGAAAGAACAGACCTCAACACTGTTGGAGCAGTGTGGGATCATCTTGACAGAGAACAGAACAAAAGACAGCAAACAGCCAAAGAACAGCTTTGACTGTCCTTCAAGAAGCCTGGAGAACTATTCTTGACGACTATGCCAAGAAATGATGAGAAAGCTTAACTAAGAGAGGCTGTGTTAAAGAGTAAAGGTGGTCATACCAAATATTGACTTCTAAGCTCATAATTGTATCAAGATATAAAGTAACGAGGGGTGGCTCAATACTTTTTCCACAGTTCTGTATTGTATTAATTTTAATAGTCATATGCCAAACGTACCTTCTCCTCTCTCCAGGGCCACAGGAAGGGGATGGTAGTTGTGCGCTCCATGCTTGCCTTCACGAGCGTAGATTTCCTCAGAAGTCAACGAGCGCTCAACCCTCTTTTTGGAGGCGGCAGTTGAGACGGGGCGCGTCCCAGAATGGATGCCATAACGGAGAGCAGGTGCGGTATGGATCGCACGGCTCAGCTGGAGAAACATTCCCTTCATTTGTTTTTATGCTGTGCGACACGTCTGCAAGTTTAAGCACAAACAACAGTTGTACATATCTGAAACAATTGGAGATACAACGGACAAACAAAAATGTGTAGTCTCTTACATGGGACTTTCAAGATATAAAACATGTTGCAACAGTTTGATTTGGCAGCGTTTTTATACCGGACAGCCTTCCTGATGCAACCCCAAGGAATACATGTTTCAAAATAAGTATTACCTCATTCAGTAATGTAGTTATACAAATTTCAGATTGTGAGCGAAAAACGACTTAATGCATCTCAGGCCTTTGCAGAAGCCGTTGAAAGGTTGACCTTAACAGTTATCCATAAAATACCCACAACCACAATAACAATGACTGTGAACATTTTATGGATTGTGGGTTGTTGCTGTTTATCGTCCATCTGGCACTTACTCAAAGCTTCTATCCAATTTCTTCGACTTTATAATGTTATTAATGATCGGTACAAATAAATTAATTAGCTTTGGTGATTTTAACATCATTGTAGACACTGAAAACAACAGCCTGGATAATCCATTAGACCCAACTGGCTTCTCTCAAAATGACTCATCTTTTTAATTATACTCTTGATCTTGTCCTGACAACAAACTGATAATTTAACAGGTTTTCCTCAGAATCCTTCTGCATCGGACCACTTTTTGATGACATTTAAATTTACTATTATGTATTACACAGCACTGGGGAACAGATTTCATTACAGCTGATGTCCTTTTGAAAGCGCAGTAACTAAGTTTAAGGCAGTAATTCCTCCAATGGTATATTCTGCCAAGACAATCCAGAGGAGCTAACTAAATTTTACTCCCACAGAAGTCAATTACTTTGCTACTAGAGTTAAATCCTCACTGTGTACAACACTGGATACTGTGGCTCTTCTGACAAATAAAGCTACAAATCTTAACTCGTACTTAACTCACAAATGCGCGCCTTAAAGCAGATAACTTGGAAGCTGGAGAGGAAATAGTGTTGCACTTGTTTAGAAGATCTTTATATAGCAAGGAAAATTGTTGTATTTCTCTTTCTGAAAAAACAGCTTTGGATAAAGCTAGGACATCTTGTGACGTATCACTCAAAGAAATGGGACCAACTCCAGGTTTCTTTTCAAAAATGTAGAAAGGCGGACCAAGTAAAACTGCTGAAATTTAGACACGCTCTCTCTCCTCGCCTAGCAAATTAATTACTACTACTACTACTTATTCCTCCGTCTTTTAGGATCTTACAAAGCTTCAAACAACGTATCAACTATTAAATTAGTCGTCAACGATTTTGATAGTCGACGTAATCGTGACTAGTCGACTAATCGTGGCAGCCCTACCATCAACATGCAAAAATTCTCAAGATTCTACCATTGATTAATAGGAGAACCTTCAGCTATCAGGCCCCTCTAATCTGGAAACAACTTCCGGATTGGATTTGGGAGAGAGACACCCTCTCTACTTTTAAGACCAGACTTAAAAGAATAGATCTTAAAACTTATGGATCAGGTGATCCTGAACCATCTCTGCTTCAAGTGCTTGCTGACAGAGGGGATTGTCTAAGGGTTGGGGTTTTGAGGTGACCGTTTTTGTGATCTGATACTATATAAAAAAAAAAACTGAATTGAATTTATAACTACTGCGAATATACTCCAAATCAAGTAACTTTAAACAAGTTGTGAATGTTGGTTTTAATTCAGATGCATATTCCTTTTAAAACCCCATACAAATGTCAAGATTAATTACAGTTACATTGGTTAGTTGGCTAACTCACCTGAGTCTATTTGGCAGTGCCAAACAAAGTGTACTTTGATATTTGTTTTAGGGAGAATTGAGCAGACAGCTTCAGTTGAGTTGAGATAGGAAATAGATGACTTATTCACAGGGGCCAGTGCATATTGGTAATCCAACATCCCAATAACCAAAGTTTACAGATTTACAGATGCTTTAATTCTAAATAGAGACCTTAATTATAAAACAGGCAGTAGCTGGGAAGATTCTCAGTCTTTCTGTGGTATTTTTGGAGTGCTTTTGTACCATGTTTGTACTATTTTTTGTCTGTTTTAGTTTTCTCTCATTTTTTGGGTAAATATTACTGCTAAATTGTCGTGTCTGTTACACATTACTGCTATTCATCATTTTATATATTTTAGGGCAATTTAATATACAGCATTACAACATATTTTATAAGGATGTGTTTGAAACATACGTGTTTGTTACATGGCCTTCATTTTTATCACAAACATGCAAAATGATCTTTCCATTTTTTCCCCAACACTTGATATGAAGAACTTTATGAGATAATTAAATTAAAGTAACTAAATTTTAAAACCAACTGCACTAGTTGTAATATGCTAAAAGAGCAACAATTGTCTCTGAGATATATCAGAACAGAAAAGATCCCAGGTAATATGAAATAAAAACACCAGGATTTTTTACCTTAAGTACAGTATTGAATCAACTGAGTTTAAATATATAATAGTGGTAGATTTTAATGACACATTTGTATTATATTGGCAAAGTGTAATGAGGCTAGTCACATGAACTAGCCAGCTAGCTAGCTAATTAGCCAACTGCTGTTTGCTAGCTAAGGTTAAAATTACTTTTGGTTAAAGGGATACTGCTTAATAATAATGTTTTTACATGGCCTTGGTCTTCTCTCAGCCTCAGATAATCACAGATAGACGAAATGTCATAATTTTCTACAGTAAAAATATAACTAATAAGATAAAATAAAGATTTAATCACCATTTCTATCAAACAATGCTATCCAAATTAACTGCAGTTATCACTGCCAGGTGAAAGGGCCTCAACTAGAATTAACACAAATATCCAAATACATGAGATGGAATTTCACCCATTACTCACTACGCTGAGAAACAGTATCTTAAATGCTAATAATATAATATGATATAGTAAGCATAATATGCATTTTATGTTTGCAGTGAGCTTTGCACGATAACAAGGTCGAGGATAGAATCAAACTGCTCATTAACTTGTTTTCTTACATAAATTCAATACAACAAGTACATCTATTAATTAACTCAATGGAACATGTGTAAACATTTAAAATCAATAAAAGCAGAAGAAACTACTCACTTACAGGTCAAGAACAATTGAGAGCACAACAGCCAAAGTTGTGACCCTCCCCACACCTTTCCCTTGCCTGGAATTTCAGATTCACCCAAAACAACTTTAGTTTCAGCCCATTTTGTCCTTTCATAATAAAAAGTCCTTAATATTTCACTGTGCTATGGATACAATGGCGCACAGAAGTGCATTCAAGCAGTTTACTGCAGATTTTAAGAACTTTTTATTGTTATTCATTAAGAAATAGATTTGGTTTTTCTAAATAAAATGATTATGGTATCTTTCAACAAAATATGGGGATTTAAATAAAACACTACATAAAAAAGGTAGCTAAAAATAGCTAATTCCACAAATTTGTGGGAAAAAAGATCTTTATTCATTTAGTGTTGGTGTAATTTTCTTTTCAGTGGAAGGACTTCGGGGTCTTGTTCATGAGTAAGGGGAGATCAGCAGAGGATTGGTGCAGCGTCAGCAGTCATGCAGATGCTGTTGTCTAATTGAAAGAGCCTGTTAATGCATAAAAGGAACAGTTTGATGGCAGCAAAACAAAACAAAGCAGGTAGGGATCGTCGTCTTGACAGAGAACAGACCAAAGGCAGCCAAAATCCAAAGTAGAACTTTTAAGAAGCCTCATAAAGTTCTCTTGAAAAACAACTCTTCTTCTTTTGGCTGCTCCCTTTAAGAGTCTATCTCATCCTTATCTTTGAGTCTTCTTCTGTCACATCAACCATCTGCATGTCATTCTTTACTACATCCAAGAATCTTCTCCGTAGTTTTATTTCTTCCGTCCTCGTCTTTCCCTCTCCACTTTTAGGACTGCGTAAACGTGAAAATTTCTAACATATAATAATGAAGTTACATTTAAACATTTCAAAGGTTTAAGTAAATAAGAAAACATTTGAATAGTTACAAAAAGGTTACTGTAACTTCATGCCTGAGACTGTTTCAAAATAAAATGCAGCATCAGAGTTGGCGCTTTAATAAGCTGATATACTGCAATGTGAAACTCCACAGACTGCATAGGTTTTACAGGCCTGCTGAACAATGCTTCCCTTTCAAAACCAGCACAATGTGTTGAATGTAAAACACTCCCATACTAAAGGCGGGTTAACAAAAAAGTAATCCCACAGCAGTATGGCAGCTGTTCTAGACTTTTCCACTGTTCATGAAAATAGGCTTTCTTGAATATAGGTGAGAAATACATGGTAAAACAAATCGCTCTGATGTGTCTCACATCATTGTGTTTATTAGGGCTTTTGTCTTTTCGCTGGAAAGTTGTTGTTGTTGTTTTTTTAAGTTTTATTACAGTTAACTAAAACTACACATGTAATTTTAGTTTGCCAAAATAACTACGAAAATAAAATTCAGCAGAAAACAGTGTTATAAATACACCAACTTAACTATAAAAAATAATATACAGGAAGTAACCTAAACAATACTCTTTGTTGGAACAACCATCATTTAATTTGCTTATTGAGAGTTGCAGTTCTCTGTGAGTTAGCCTGTAGTTTAATATCTATTGTAAACCTCTTTAATATCTTATCACGGACAAATATCTCCTTATTTATTATATCCCTAGCTCTATTACTAAGAAGACAAACTAGATAATGTTATTGCAATAACTCTGGAATGCTATAAGCCACCTTCTGAGGGAAATCTATTATTACCTAAGTCAATATGATTAAACTAACAAGAGTGTAGACAGCAGCTTTAGCATGTACAGCACAGAATAAACACTCTGTAAATTGGAAGGTTTAACGTAATGACACTGCACGTGTCCCTGCTGATGTGCCGCAGACAGCGTTAAAGCTCCTTTTAGGTGAGCCATGATAGGCTGTCGTGGGAGCTGCCTCCGGGATACACCCACCAGCCCCAGCAGGCTAAATAAAGATGGGCAGTTAAGAGTTCTTTCAGATTATGTATATTTATATTTATATCTCAGTTCTCCAAAACAATCCCGGATTATACAAACCTGTATCGTGGCCCTGAGACATGAGCTGCAGCGATCTGTAGTTTAAAATGATCGAGTGGTGAAATGTGATGCTTATCAGCGATTCAGTATGAATTAACACAGGTTCCTTATCTTATCTCGTCACCCTTTAAAACGCATCTAAATTGCTGCAGAGACACAGGTGCTTTGTTTCCTTTATGTAATACCGGATAGCAGAGGAACATGAGCAACTTCCGGATGCCAAATTTCCATCCCTAAATTATTTAAGAAAAAAATTCAAAAAGAGGAAGGAAAAATAAAAGGAAGTCAGACAGTACCAGAAGAAAGCCGAGCGTGGTCAAATCTCTCTTTCCAAGTCGATGATGCTTGTCCTTTATAGACACACCAGCTGGTAGCTCTTCTGTTTTGTGCAGTGGGAAGGCAGTGTCGTGGCTCTTTCAATGCGACTGCGTCACGGTGAGATGGGGTACGCCTACATGTTGCAATTCACGCAGTAATTGCATAATTTAAAAGACAGCAAGTATTATATCACTGAAATAAAAAAGTATTTTTTCATTCTGTTTAGGTATTTTTATTAATTCATGAATAAATAAATTACTTCTTTGAAATTAATTTCTAAGTTTATTTTTAATGTTCCGTCCAGAATTTATTGAAAGCACTTCGTCTGGGATCCAATGGTGAGTCTAATTATACTTAAAGATGTACATTTAAAAAATACTGTTTTGTATGTTTTCGATAAACACATTAAACTTCACACGTGCTTTGCCACATGCCGCTTTATATTACACGCATGCGTACTAATCACTTCGGCATGGCGGACAGTGGCTGGCCGAGCTGTGCTAAGAGTTTAAAAGGTGTCATTTTGGACCTGTGTGGAGTTTTATATGACAGCGGGGAGGGCGACGGAGTTGCAATTCCTGGCTCGATCGAAGCTGTGAAAAAGTGAGTGAAAATTTTCACGTAGAAATGTGATTAGCTTTACGTCTTCAGTTTGAATAGCTGTCAAAGTCCGTCACTCAGACTTAATGATGTATGTGACCACCTGCTTTGCCCTCCTGAACTATTGAAAGGCTCAAGGAATCCGACCTGCAGCTGCGATTCTGCACCAATGAGACCCAGGCCACCAGAGAGAAGTTTGTAGCCAAGCTTCGAAGATTGGGCTTTGACATCTCTGTATCTGAAGTCTTCCCTCCTGCGCCTGCAGCCATAGCTGTTCTCAAAGAAAGAGGTTTACGTCCTCACTTGCTGGTGCATGATGGTAAGATTCATATTTGAGCATCTAAAGTTTTCAGACCACTTTTTAGTTGATTGTGTTCTAAGAGCACACTTGGAATAAATGCACATTAAAAGCCCTGGTATAATATATGTGAGGAGTACATAAAGGGTTTTTTCTGTTACATTCTGGTGTTAAATTATAAACTGACTCATTTAATCTCAAATCATCTTGAGTGTTCTGCTGGACCACGTCTAACTTGGCTATTGAATGGAACTTAAATCGTCTCATAAGTAAAACAAGACTTATGTGTCTTATAATATGATTTACTTGGTAAAGTCTCCCCTTTTGCAGCATAAGACATTACTTATTCTTACAAATACCTGGCATGAATCCATATACAGTATATAAATTATATTTGATGTATGAAACTAAAATTTCACAATAATCATTATGTCCATCGTGCCCAAATTTTAAATCATAAAATATTCAGACTAATCAAAGTGGGTTGAGCTGAAAATTATCTAATAATTTAATGATTTTAGATGCAATAACCCATTTATGACTGACTTTGCTCCTTCTCTGCAGGACTTCTCCCGGAGTTTGACGGTGTTGACAAAACCAACCCAAACTGTGTGATTGTAGGAGATGCAGCTGAAAAGTTTTCCTATCAGAACTTGAACGAGGCTTTCAGGGTCCTCATAGGCCTGGAAAAGCCGGTGCTTTTCTCCCTGGGCCAGGGGTAATTAAATATTACTAGCCAACCGACATTACTCTATTGCTTATTCCAAGTAACGCATCATTATATAATGAAATGTATTTATTGATGTTAATCTTTCTTCATAGGCGATACTACAAGGAGACGGATGGTTTAAAATTAGATGTTGGTGTTTACATGAAAGCTCTGGAGGTAAAATAGGTGCACCGATATTTTGATATATTTTTTTTTTTAGAGTTCAGTGGAAATAAATAAGTTATTTTTAATGTTGGCTTTTTTGTGTTTTTGTTCCTTTTAGTATGCCTGTGATTTAAAGGCAGAAGTAATTGGAAAACCTTCCCCGACATTCTTCCAGAGTGTTCTCAATGATATGGGCCTTAAACCACATGAGGTATGCAGCAATACATGGCCCTGCATGTGCACAGAGCACAAGTTAGGATGGAAAAGTTTACTGTCAGTTGTGCAATAAAGACCAGCTGCCTTTAGTTCTTGTTTTGCAGGTTTGCTTTGTTGAGCTTGTTCCTCTGTGCTCTGACGCTCCTGTTCCAGTTTTTCCAACAAATTCTGAACCAATGACACAATGTTTTCTTTCTAGTTTTGCATCTGTACTCTACCACAATAGATTGCACTTTAGTCACATATAGCTAACTTTACAAACTTTCAGCTTTAATTTTTTTATTTTCTTTTTTAAAAATAATAATCCTGTCATCCTGTAATTTAGTTGTTTTCTACAGTCTTTCAGGCCTCTTGCTGTTGCTGAACTATCCAGTGTTTTCATTCATTTTAAGAATGTACCAGAGTGTTGATTTAGCCACTCTTAAAGATTTCCTATCTCTCTGATGGGTCTTTTTTTGTCTTTTCAGCCAAAATATGGGCGTCAATGCTTTCAGCAACATGTTATCAATATTTAAAATGACAACTAAAAGCTGCACAATATGATTTCAACACATCGAATCAACTATATCACTATATCTGCTTTTGTTTCTTATAAGTCCGATATCATATGTTTCATTATTGAAAGTATTTGTAAGAGTAAGCATTGTGTTATGTTGTATGAGAAGAATGCAAAAGAAGACACTTTAACAAGTAATTCATATTATGACACAAGTTTTGTAATACTTGTGGAATTATAATATATAACAGATAAACATGGTCTTTTGATTTGATTGTAAAATTCCTACAGGCTTTTTTTTTTTTTTGGTTACTTTTTCATGTAGAGGAACACATCCACCAACACAGACACAAGA